GTTTCGTGTGTCTGGTCATGATTGCATACAGCCGTGGAAGAGAAACAGCGCTGACTCTGAAGGGTAAGAGGGACAATTATATGCACGTGGCTGTAAGAGGAATGTAGGAACCAACTGATGCTCTATTATACCCATTGTCTCCTCATTTAAAACTAGGCTAAACTAAACCATGGCCGCCCCCGTCGACCTCCTGCGTCAATCACACAGTTTCTGGAGTCCCAACGTCCACTGATCCAAACAACTGTGTGATCAGCGCCTTGGAGAACTCCTTGACACTTACTTTGAGTTCATCTATGGCCTCTAGGGTTCTCTCAGTCCTCGGCAGCTCGTTGAATATTGAATCAAGTTTACCCTCCACGCTAGTAATTCTAGCGTTTGTTACGCCTATTGCCGCGTTGATAGCATCCACTTTCGATGCCAAGCCAACAAGAATCCTGTCGTAGTTAGAAAAGGGCATTAAGTAAAATGAACGTGGCTTACCATTTCAGTTCTTCATTCGTAGTAAATCCTCCGTATAAATCGGCCTGGTTGCAAGAAGAATGTCCTCCATAGTGACTGACTTGTGTCGGGTCGACGGTAGTCCAGGGGTCATAGTATGGAAAGCTGGGTGCTTCAGGATTTAGCTTCAGCTCGTCGAACTCATTGCCTGAAGAGTTGACCGACGAGAGACTTGAAGGAGCAGTCGAACAGTCAAAGCTTAACTGAGGCATGTCGATGCTGCAATCCGAAATGATTTTGTCAAGGTCGTATGCCTGAGGTTGTGGCTGGGACGTCCCTTCCCCAGAAAAGTTCATCGACGGAGCGACTTCCATTGTTATTGTTGATAATGGGGGAGAAAGATGCAGTAATGGTCAGGATGAGGCTGCTTCGGATACATATATGTGAAAATACAGAGCAAATAAAGCACCCAAGACTTATATACGGTGCGTAAATAAAGCATCTGACGATTCTTTTAAAGAGCGATCAACCCAATCTGTTACATATATAAGCGCCGAACCCCAGGTCCCATTGTCGAAAGTTGCAAGAACGTTGAGTAACAAGAATATGCGGGCACACAAACTTTCACTTATTGCGGCCATGCTGTTCCAGCAGGCACAGAGCGTTATGGCTTCAATCTGTCTGGACGCGTCACCGATGATCAGTCTAGAAGCAGGGATATCTAATCTTTCTGCAATGTTCGTTCTCTGTCCTAGAATCATGTCTTCCGCTGTTCTCATAATGACCGCGGGTAATTTAGCATTACTCCACCTCTGTCCCGGAAGTGTGAGGCGACAATGCTCTTCAATGATCCTTTGTACTTGCCAATCAGGTTCTCATTCAGACCAGTGGAATGTGATAACCGCCAGCTGGCAACCTTTACAGTTCCGGAAGAGGCTCCAAATGGAGAAGCAGACATTGTCTGGTTCGTTTGACACTGCCTCGACGCGTCAGCTTGCGCTAATCCCTGCACAGGCAATGTTCCGGCATGGCCACTTCCTGCCACCATGCGATGATCAAAGGTGGTGGATCGAACTCAACAATGGGAACTGAGAGAACCGGCCTGGTTGCTTGCATCCTGGAGTCAATCCAAACCACCAGTGCTCTTACAACCCGAACTCAATCTCTGAGTACGTTCACGGAAACTGCAAAGACAATTTTCACCTCAACAAGCACCAGTTTCGTGCCAGAGAATACTTTGCTCACTGGCGATAAAACTACTCCCCCGTACATCAGGACGTCTGGCGATGTCACCGGAGGATCCACATCCGCCAAATCTGGTCGAGCCGTTGTCACGACGCAGGAGATAGATAACAGAACACCCGGACAAGGCGCAGACACAACAACCGACACAAGCACAATCACCGGTACAGTCACAGGTACAGTCACAGGTACGACCAGCAATACCAGAGATACTGGGCATACGACTCGCACAACGGCCAATCATGAGATTTTGGAACCAACCACAACGGCGCCAATTCAACCAACCGCTACGGCCACGGCCAACACAAACGACAAACAGCATGCGCCGCCTGCCACACCAACCGTTTCCAATGATGGTGCGTTTGCAGGCTCAGAGACCAGGGTAATGCCCCCGGCACTTACAACCTCAGTGACTACCACCTTAATTACAACCATGACCGTCACGGGAACCGTTGCGGCCATCTGCGGTACCACTACTAAACAGGTATAAGAGGGTGGCTTTGTCCGCTTGAAAGTTAGTGGTCACTTTTAGTTTAGACAAATATATGCTCTGTAGAGCTAATCAGAAAACAAATAAATAAAGTTTAGTTTAGACAAATATATGCTCCGTAGAGCTAATCTAAAAAGAAATACATAAATTCATACATTTACCTCAAAGTTATATACTCTTTATTTACTACATCATGGCTGGGACGAACCTGCCACCTCTCCGGCCTGGGACGCTGGAACAGCAAGAGACGGCGAAATCCACCAGCAGCTGTGGCCCACGAATGCCAAACGTAAAACTGTGCATTGAACCACAACCCAAAACTGGAAGAGAGGGGGGGGCAGAAAGCTGTGTATGGGTTCCTGCTTCAAGAGCTGCAACCTCTCTTTCTGGAAATGGGTAAGCTCAATGTAGCAGTGCACGGGGTACGAGAGGAATTGCATCTGATGTGCGCTGAATTGCAACAGATTCGGGAAGTAGTTGATCAGGTGTGCTTAACTATGAATTCAATGCTGTGCAGTTTATTGTACAGTGGCTAATAAAGTACAGAAAGAGGGTAGTGCCCAAGAAGAGTTCATTCATATTGCTAACCCACGTCCATCGAGTCCAGCAACACCAGCTGCCATGAAGGCATTCGAAAACCAATATTAAAAGCTGTTCGAAACTGGTTGCAATTTTGGCTCAGTGCTGCCAGGCTCGTGTTTATTGCCAAAGTTTGATGGGCCAAGTACAATTGGCAACGGGAAGGTGGTGGTCTATGGTGGTCCATGATATTAGTGCATATTATCAATATAATGTTTCGAATAACGCACTAGTTCTGCTTGTGACGGAGGCAGTATTCCTGTGGTATACTGCCAAATTTGATTACTTCGTTTGTTTTGGACCATGAAGTACACTTCAACGTCGCAATCCCTGTAAAGGTCATGTACTTTTTTGAGCACAGCTCTCCTTCGTTTGGAAAACTTTGAGGCTCTTCTTTTGCCGGCTTTTTTTATTTCCACCTTTCCAGGCGCTGAAGACGAAGTTTGCTTGGGCCCTAGCCAAGTGAGCTGGGGCACAGAACAAG